CAGTGTACTCGATAACTGATTCTTTCTCCCAAGAAAGCAAAGTTTTTAAGTTCTTAGAAATTGGTTTACTAACTTCTACTATTTTTGCTTCAGCCATTCTTACAAACTTGTTATACTTAAAGTTACTTTTTTCTGTTTAAATACTAATTAAAATTATGAAGTCCACTTACTAAACATCATCAGCGGTATTGTGAAGCAGTTCCGCTTCCTCCTCACAAAGTAATTTAACGTTTTTTGTTAATTTCTATCTAGCTAATTGAATTGCTACAGTAACTCAATGATTTAATTATTTCATTTGTTCATCTTATTAAGAAGAATCGTTTCAAATCTGTTAAACTTTTTAAACTACGCGAAGCATAAAACAGTTATTGAAAAAACTTTTTTATTTATAAATAAATCATCTGGTTGAATCTTGTTGGACTTTTCAGGGCTAGGGGCTGCACTATTTTGGCGGTCTTTTTTATGTACCACAGCGTAAAAATGACTTAAAAAAATACAGAATGGTCTTCTTGACCATCATTTCCCCTAACATTGTGAGTGCCGCGATTAAAGCCCTACTACCCCCACCCCACCTCCTCAATCCAGCACTGGAAATAAGACATAAGTATATAAATAAAAATTATATATACTCTTTGATAAACCAAAGAACATTTGTTTCTTTATAGTTGTTACTTTATACAAAAAATGTCGCTTTATTTTATAAAAAAAGTTATAAAAGAGCGACGTTTCAAAAATAATTGCCCTTCGCGTTTTTTCGTGTTAAAAGCTATTTTTCATTTTTAACTGTCTCTCGTCGGTCCAGTTAATTTTATTGCGCTTTTTTGTTTGTTTTTGAAATGTTCTCAAAACAACTAAAAAATCTGGCCGGTTTTTCGCAACTAAATAATATTTCCGTGGTCAATTATCGAGTGCAATCATACCCACTTCCTGACCAAGCCTGATATATATATATATATATATATATATATATATATATATATATATATATATATATATATATATATATATATACAGGCTTGGACGGGAATGGCGTGCGATCACGCGCTTTGTTTGACCACGGGAACAATAATTTTTTTTGACAATTTAACCACGGTTGCTTTGACAAATAAAACGCTTCAGAAATGCGTCGAAAGAAACTAGTAAAATTTACGAAATAACTTTTAATCGTTTACCTTTTTCAAAGTTTTTATATTATGTGAACACCTTTAAACAAAATAACAAATTACTTTAAAAGATTGCTTAAAATAAACAAATTATTATTACGAAAACGTATACGAAACTTTTATTTAAGTTAGTTTTCTAACGCTTAAAAGTATTTTTTTATGTTTTTATTTTAAATCTTTCAAACGAATATTTTGTTTTTCAAAGATTATTTTTTGAGCGAATTTTTATTACGAAAGTAATGAATAAGCTCGAAACTTTATGAACGACGATCTTTAAGATCTTCGTTCAAAACGTTTTGAGATTATTCGTTCACAAAAATCATCTTTGCTTAAGTTTGTATATTATGTGAAGGCATTTAAACAAAGTGAAAATTACTTCTAAGGATTACTTTCATTTCGTTTATATCACCAAAGAATATCTTAGTTTTTTTGCATTATTATATTTATAAGCATGTTTTTTTTTTTTTAATGTAAACGTTAGAATATACCTTTCCATGTTTTTATTTTAAATCTTTTAAACGAATATTTTGTTTCTGATAAACGGTAGGAATTAATAATTTTTTTTTAAAACTTTACATGCGAAACTTTAAAATAAATCTACTAAGTGTTTGAAACGATTATTTTAATTAGACGCTTTATTAAAAATATTTAAAAATGTTATTTATAACATTTTTTTTCCATCCACAAAGTCTACCGTCACGCTAAGTTGAACTAATTCCTTGTCAAATAATTAGTTCTCCTTCGCGGAGATATTCATTAAACATAAGCAGGTAAACAATAGACGTTACTCTTTAAAGTCTTTGCGCATGAGAACCAATGCTTTTAAAAAGCATTTGCTCTCTTGCGCAAAGATTTTAAAGAGTAACGTCTAATGTTTACGCCGTTATGTTTAATGAGAATTTCCGCGAGAGAGAACTAACGATTTGCATGATAAGTGCTTACGATAAAAGTGTATGATAAATGTAAAAGTTAAAAAGTATTTTCATTTGTCATGCAATGTTTATGAACCTTTTAAACGAATATTTTATTTATTACTTTAAATTACGACATCAAAAAGTTTGAAACTTTATTAAAAAACTTAAAAATTATAGTGTGAAGCACTTATAAATAAAGTGACGAATTAATTGTTAAACAAAATTTAAATTAAGAAAAATCTTATTAAATAATTATTATTCCGATACATAACAAAATTTATCAGATTCAAAAAATGCAACTAAGAAGAAATATAAATTTATAAAATAAAGCTTATTGATCAATAATCCAACGGACTTGATTAAAAAAATATATATCAAGGTATAACAGCCCTATTCTGACCGTTTATTCAGCGGTCTAGCTACGACTGAACTCTTGCTGGAAAAATGTATTAACGCTCAGCCTGACAACAACAAAAGACCTAAACGTTGTAGCAATAAAGCGATTCAATAGTTTAACTTGTTTGCAAAAAATAAAGTAACAAAAGATAAAAGTCATTTATTTCTAACGTTAACTAACGTAACTTAAAATAATTGTCGCTTTGAGTTAGTACTTTTACAGTTTTAGTTTTCTTTTCTCTTCTTTCGTTGGAAATGTGTAAAAAAAAAAAATACATATTTTTTAAATTGTTCTCTATAATTTAATTTAGTTTGGTTATTTTAACGCATTTCCCATAGGCCGAAAAAACATATTTATTAGTCAAAACATCAAAGCAACCGTGGTTTTATTTTCAAAACATTGTTAATATGTACGTGGTCAAACACAGCGTCCGATCGCACGCCATTCCCGTCCAAGCCTGTATATATATATATAAATATATATATATATCAGGCTTTACCAGGAAAGGCGTGCAGTTGCATGCCTTGTTTGTCCACGCATAAAATAAATTTTTCTGACTAACTGACCACGTTTTGTTATTATGCAATTCAAAAATTCGCGCTAAAACAAAGCTAAACGAAAATACCGCAAAAATGCAAGCAATCTTAAAGTAAATAACAGAAATCTGTTTGTGCTTTAAAATTAAAAAATTAATCTATATTATTAAAAAAAAAATTTACCTATATTTTATTTATTTATATATATATATTTTTTAGGGTGGTAGTTATTTTAGCTATGAAAAATCAAATCAATAAGAAAAAAAAAAATTAAAAAAAAAAAGGTTATAGTTTAATGAAAATAAAAGGACCTTTTAATGTAAAACTTGTTTATGACTTTTATCAGTCAGTAATTCTTTAAAATTTACGATAGAACTATAAACAATTTTTAAATGTTTCGTAAATACATTTAAATGTTCAAATGTATTATGATACGCAAAAAAGCGCAAAAACAATTGCTATTTATTTGTAAAATATGTTAGTTTTTATTTTCAAATGAAAGAAAATTTTATTGTCAAACGATTGAGTTTATTTTATTTTGCAATCATTATTTGACATTGTTAACAAGTGTTAATATATAATAATGTCCCGAAGGAACTTTTTTCGTAACAATGACAACAGAAGCAATGCAGTTATTTTTTTAACTTCTTTCGTAATTACAAAATTATGCAATTGAATAATTTAAACGTAATAAAAGGCGAGCATTGACTCAGTATAATCAGTTTAGAATAAGTCGAGAGAACCTTTTTTACATTAAAATTTTGTTATGTTTAAAATCTCAAATAATACATTTAATAATTAAAACAGCATTTTATTTTCTTGTCCAAGTATTGGGGAATAACGTCATCGGCTTTGCATAAACCTTCGTAAAAACTAAATTAAATTTAACTAAATTTGTCTAGCGTAAATAATGAATCAGTTTTTTAATACGTTGTCTGATAAAGTTCATGAATAAATTACGTATCTAATAAATTACGTATATCTTACATATATAAGTATTTTATTTTTATGAAAACTTAATGACTTATAGTCGTCTTTTCCTTGACTTGTATCAAATTTCGTGGCTAAAAATAGCAACCCTAAAAAAAACAAAAAAAAAACAGTATAAAAATTTTGAAAAAAATGTTCAAGACTTTTTTTTTTTTATTACAAGAAATTTTTTTTTGATCAACAATTTGTACTAGATCCCAAGATGGCCATCCCTATCTCCAAAAAAATTTTTTTCTATATATAAACGAGTTGCTTAAAAAGCACTGTTAAATGAAGAAAAAAGCAATCTACAAAAAAAAAAAAAAAAGGAAAATTTTCATTAGATTTCATTTTTGTTTAGTTGTATTTCAATAGAATGTTTATTTTTTTTGTATATGGTTGATAATGGTATAAAATGTTATATAGTTTGCGAACATGTCTTTTATAAATGTATTCAGCTGTTTCTACTCCAGTCTTTTTTTCATTCTTTATGGTTATTTAGGTGCTCCAAGAAGTCCTTATGGTCTTAAAAAATAAAAGGCCTATATGCAAAATAGAATATGATCCCATTAAATTAATGGGACTTTGCTATCATTACTTTGCTGTTTTGACCATGGCTTGTTCATTACAGATTTTTCTTTAGAGTCTTTTTTTTAAACAATTAGAAAATAATAATTTGTCTCTCTTAAAGGTTTAAAATTTTTTCACTTTTAAATAAAATATAGAAAAACTTAAAGTCAATGAAGCAGTTGTTATCTTTTTTTTTTGTATCCTTGTTGCAGTCACATTTGAAACAACTTTAAAGAATTTTTCTTAAAAAAAACAAAGATTTACAAAAATACTTTCTAATTATTATCTTCAGAAAACAACTATTTTTTAGTTATTAAATATTTAAATACAAGTTTAAATCAAGATTATTACTTTTTTAATTAAAGTGGTGTTTAAGGTTGTTTCACACACCCTGATTATATGCTAAAATATATTTTGTTGATTATTAACATATTTTTTTGTTTTGTTTTAGTCAATTGCACAAGAACTTACAAGCGTGGAACAGGGAGAATCTTTAACTGAACTTGAAGCGCTAGCAGCTTCTCTTGCAACAAACTTCATATTTTATCACAAGGATAAAGATGTGAAATCTTTATCTGCATGTTGTCTTGCAGATATTCTTCGAATATTCACACCTGAACCTCCTTACAATGAAGAGCAATTAAAAGTAATTTTTTTAGTTTTAGATTGGTTGAACTTGGTTTTATAGGTTAGTCAGTCTGATTAAAGTTTTTTCTTTTTTTTTCTTTCTTTTATGCCCATAACAACCATTAAATAAATTATTGGCTATCCATATCCATTAGAAAATTCAGCGTATCTAAGAGATTTTAAAAGTATGATTAATATTAAAAGTATCCATTAAAAAATCCATATCCATTAAAAAGTTCAGCGTATCACTCCTAAGAGATTTCAGAAGTATGATTGATTTTGACAATGGTTTCTTTACACGATGAACATGATAAACTGTTTTGTGAAGAAATACAGAGCTTGATGTTTTGTAGAGCTGTTAATTAGTTGGCAGTGTTAAATGTTGACCTAAAAAATATTCAATGAAAAGGGTTTAAAAATAATTGTCATGAAAAATTAATTTTTACTCCATGGTGAAAATGCTAAGTCATTATAGTCCATGCTTGTGACCATGCTTTAATTGCACCACTGGTGACCATGCTTTAATTGCACCCCTGGATGTGGTTCAACATAAATTATGTATATTGTTCAGCATGAATTATGTATATTGTTCAACATAAATTATGTATATTGTTCAACATAAATTATGTATATTGTTCAACATAAATTATGTATATCGTTCAGCATAAATTATGTATATTGTTCAGCATAAATTATGTATATTGTTCTGGTATTTGTCTTGATTTAAATGTCTTTGATAGTTTAGTTTAGTTTTATATTTAAATGTCTATGTTAATTACCTAATTTTACTGTTTGATTTAGCTACAAATGAATTAAGTATTTAAAGTCATATGATATTATATGCATTTATAGATCAAATTTTGCACCATTTTAATTTTTCTAACCATGTATTAATATAAATGATCATACATCAATATCTTCATGTGATCTGGCACCAATTTAGTTTTTTAATCATGTAACATACATCTAGAAGTATGATTTTAATGTATATATATATATATATATATATATATATATATATTATATATATATATATATATATATATATATATATATATATATATATATATATATATATATATATATATATATATATATATATATATATATATATATACAGTGAAGAATACAGAGTTTATTTGGGGATACTGGTTTTTTTTTAGCAACGTTAAGGGGCGGGGGGGGGGGGGAATTATGTTTTTGATTTCCCTCTCCCCCTCATTCTCCTCCAGTTAAACGGGTGCCGCAACAATAATTTTTAATCATCATTTTCTTAATAATCATTTATGGTTTATCTTGTTCAGTTTTATCCTATAATAAGGTGTTGATTTAAAGGCATTTTTTGAATACATGAATTTACTGGTGGACGATGTTACTTTAGCTAAAAGAAAACTATTTTACTTTTTTTTAATACACACTTTTGTTGCATATACCACGTTATCAGTAAATAATTATTGAAAATTGTTTAAAGTATTTTAAACAGTTATTAACTATATTTTAGTTATTTTAATTTAAAATAATAATTAAAAATATTTTAAACTATTTTTAATCAATATTTACACTACATAATATATTTACATATATTATACCGCGTAATATTTGTAAAATCAACAAAATAGTTTAACGTCTTGTATTTGAATTAAAAACATAAGCCTTTAATAAACAAATTCGATAAGCATTTAATAAACGTATTTAATAAACTATTTGAATAAAAACGTAAGCGTTTAATAAACTTAGTTTCTATCATTTTGAATTTAAAATTTTGATTTAAATATTAGTAAATTTGTTCATTTAACTTTTACCAAAGGTTATAATTTTTAAAGTGATTTTAAGGCGCCTTTTAAGTTAAAGATAATTAAAGAAATAATTACAATAAATATAATTTTAAAAATTATTCTATTGTTTTGATTAAAAACCATATTATATTTTTAAAACCATATATTTAAAAAAATATATTTATTTTTAATTATTAAGAATAATTTAAAACATTAAATTTAAATAAATAAATTTATTATGGATTATTTTAATTAGATCTAAATAGAACTTTTATTAAGTTATTGAAACCTTTTTTTTTTATTGTTTGAAAAAAAATATTGAAAGGAAAAAAAACTGTCTGAAAAAGTTTATTCTTCGTTTTTTCCTTTTCCTCACGTAAACTAAAATAGCAAGCTAAAGATCAATAGTTCATTCATTTAAAAATTAGACATAACACGATAGTTATGAGGTTTGCGGGATAGTTACAAGTTATTTTTTACTTTTGTTTATTTATTATCAAAAGCAGTTTACTCTTAATTGCCAAAAACAAAAATTAAACATACGCTGGAATGGATATTTAAAAACGCTTTAACTTTCAAAAAAGCAAATCTTTTATACATTCCATTTATATAAAATTTTGCAACGTGGTTTTAAAATTAAGTTTCATAACGACTTTCATTTTTTTAAAAGTTATGTCCAGTTAATAACCAAAGGCAAATTACGTCACGTAGTTATGTAAAAAAGCAATTTCTTTTTAATTCTTTTTATTTTCCTGAAGAAAAAATGAAGTAGCTAAATTAAACTGATAATTATTTATATACTACTGCATTTAAAAATAAAAGCAAGAAAAATTAAAAATAAAAATAATTTTTGGGCGCTTTTTTTTGGGCGCCCATACCGGTAAAACGGTACTAAAACACGTCTGGGTTCTTCACTGATATATATATATATATATATATATATATATATATATATATATATATATATATATATATATATATATATATATATATATATATATATATATATATATATATATATACCATATGGTGTTAGCCAGATTTTGGAGGAATTGGATAATTATGATAAAAATTCCCAATATTTTGTAAAACAATAACAATTAATATTCCCAATATTGCAAAAACGATAAAAAATATATTCCTGGTTAATGCCCTGACATTGTATATATAAAGCTTAATATATTTTATCTTATTTATCTTTCTAGGATATTTTTCGTTTATTTCTACAACAGTTTGTTGAGTTAGGAAATGTGAAAGAAGGACTAATGTATCAACGTCATTTTTATATTTTAGAGGTTTGACTCGTTTCAAACAGTTTTTAAAAGTTTTAGATTTTAAAATAGATTATTAAAATTTAAACTATTTTTTTAGACATTGGCATTAGGCAATACATTTGCAGTATGTATAGAGCTAGAAGCTATGGATATTATCCAGAAATTATTTGAAACCTTTTTTTCTGTGATCAGGTACTTAATAATATATATTACTAACAATAATATTATTACTAACAATAATATTAGGATTTATAACGCTAGTGTCATAAATAATGGTATTGAAATAAAATAATTCTTCTCTAAAAGCTAAACTAATAGTAACCAACATAAATGCCAAACAAATTTAACACTGATATTAACTCAAGATACTGATCTTGAGCTATATTAATATTAATGTTGTCCAACATTAAAATAACACAGTCAGATAATAATTATTGTATTATTATAATAATAATATTGAGAAAAGATGTTTATAATATTAAGAATACTTTTTAAACATTAATTATTTATTTGATTTGCTTTCCAAAATGGTAAGATATTATTATTTTGGAAAGTATTAATTTCAAAGAGGCAACAAGAAAAGATATGAGTTGTTGATGATGAAAATATAATGTGTGAATATTTTAAAAAAATTAAAATTACTTATAAGATAAAAACTTAAAATTTTTTTTACCGCTACCAATAGTGCATCCCTATTGCCACTGCACCACTAACTACCACCACTCACCACTGCGCACCTCCACTTAGCTGAGTTTTGTTGAGTTAAATCATGCTATAACAGTTGTACATTGAATTATTAATGTATATCATGTTAATTGTTATTTTTAATAATACATGTAGTGTAGTTCGTAGAAATAGTATGTTGTATATATCTTTTGAGTTATGTATGCCATAACTGTATTATGCAGCTGTAAATGGCTAAAATGTTGAATACTGCATAACAATAATAAATTAAAGTACTCATGCAAAATATATATTTTTTAATTAGAATTTTTTTTTTCAATCTTTGCGTCTTGTAGTCCAAAAAATTTTGCAGGCTAAAAATAGGTATTCCTAGATTTTGATTGTGTGTTACTAATTATATTTAGCATCTACCAAAATGTACTTAATTGTATAAAATTGTACATTATGATAATATAAAAATATTTATATATTACAAATAATGTTGTGTTTAGCAACCATCACAATGCTAGAGTAAAATGTTTCATGTTGGATATCATGTGTCCGTTAATATTAGAAGGAGACTCACTTCCACAAGAAATATTTGATTTAATTTTAACCAGCTTAGTTGAACCTAATAAGGTTTGTATGTATACTCTTATTTAACATAATTTTTTTTTGCATACTAAAAGAAAATTGAAGATTAAAAAGTAAAACTTTTTGATATTGTTTTTGTTAGCTATAGTAGGAAACATATAAATTTTCAAAATCTGTAATTAAAAAAAAAAAAAAAAAAAAAAATTTAGAAATGACAAAAAAATACGAATCAACATAATGTTAAATAATACATCATAAATGTAATCTACAATTAATTTTTTTAATTTTTAGCTTTTAATTCATAACATTAAAGTTAAGTTATAGGTTAATATTATTTATATTTTTATAAAAATTTTACTTAAGCTAAAATTATATTTAAGTACTTTGTAATAAATGTGATACACTAAAAACATTTTTAAACTTTATGAATTTCCTAATAATGTTTTCAATGAGATTCCAAAATTTTTTTATTTTTTTTTTAAACATCTTTGCTTCCAACAAAGCTGCAAGCAGCCACTAATTAGAGTTAAAAGTTACTGGACGAGAAAAGATGAAGATTGTAGAGCAAGATAACGGTTGACAAACGACTAAAAAGATTGCAAATTATATATGAATCAGCAAGATGAAGGAAGCAAATTCCAAAGAACTGATGTTCAAGGAAAAAACTAGAGGAATAAGAGTTTTTTGTGCACATAGGAACAGAAAAAGAATGAGACTTGATTGAATAACTAGTAACACAAGAATGAATTTTAGTAGATGGCACAAGAGACACTAGCTCTTTAAAGCAGTGGCCATTATAGTATTTGTAAAAACAAGATAAAAAAAGCGACATTACGACGATGGGATAATGGTCGAAGGGTGGCTGCAAGAGCAGGTCCATCTATGTTTACAATGCGTTTTTGCATCTTGTCTAAAAGAGAAAGGGCATCATTAGAAGATCCTCCCCAGATATGGCAATAGTATTCCATACAAGGTCAGATTTGAGATTTATAGAGATAGAGAATAGAATCCAGAGTAAGAAAGTGTCGAGCTCGATAAAGAAATGCAACTTTAGCAGATGCTAATTTTGCAACGGACTTAATATATGGTTTCCAAGAAAGATCAGAAGTGAGAGTTAATCCTAGAAGATGAAGGGTAGATGACTCATCAAGTACATTACCATTCATAAATATAGGAAGGTCTAAATTATTGCGATAACGATTGGCTGAAAAAAATTGAGTTTTATCTGAATTATAGTTCACCAGCCACTGTGAGTCCTATGCTTAGCAGAATTGAGATCCTTTTCAAGCCTCATCCAAGCAATCAGGGAGAGTTGGCTTTCTTATGACAAGAATAATTGGTAGTATCATCAGTGAACAATGCCACCTTAGATGTGAGAGTATCTAGAAGGTCGTTAATGTAAATTGAAAAGAGTATAGGGTCAAGGATTAAACCTTGAGAAACCTCTGAGGTTACAGAATAAGAAGAAGAGTGCTGTCCATCAAGGACAACTTTTATACTACAATTGGAAAGAAAGGATTCAATAATCTTAAAGATGTTTCCAGATACACCCTTAGAAGAAAGCTTATGGAGAAGACCAGCATGCCAAACTTTATCAAACGCCTTAGAAATGTCAAGAGCAATGGCCTTAACCTCTCCACCTTTATCTAATGCACGATAAAACCTATCGGTTATTACTGTTAGCAAATCAGTCATAGAACGAGAAGATTGAAATCCATATTGATGATCAGAGAGTAGGTTATGAAATTCAAGATGAGAGATTAAGTGTTTGTTAATTAAAAATTCAAAAACTAATAGAACGGTAGTTAGATGAATCGGATCGCTCTCCAGAATTTTTAAAAATAGGGATAACAGATGCTGGAAAACAAGACTCTGATGAGCACTTGTTGAATAGTTTTGAAAGGATAGACGACAGCTCCGGAGAACACTTCTGCAAGACTATAACAGGTATATTGTCCGACAGACCTCTGTTTATTACTGCTAGGAACCAAAACAAAATTGTTTTGCTGATAGATATGGAAGTAATGGTTTCGATTGGCAATTGCAGCAGCACAATGTGATGAAAACCATGGAGAAGAGTGAGGCATGACCTGGTATCATCGAGAAGGAATAAAGGGTTCCATGCCAGCCTGAATCCACGAAGTTATGTAAGAAGCACATTTGTCAACAGGAAGATGAAAGATTTCTACCCAAGGGCCATCACAAAGAAAATCATGGAAAAAGTCAGCTTTAAGGTAGTTGTAAGATGTACAATGATAGGGGGATTCTGATGATAAAGAAGAATGAGATAATAGATTTAGAGAGATCAAACTGTAATCAGAGGCACCTAAGGGTGACTGTGGAGAAACTCAGCACTGACTAGGATCAGAAACAAGACATAAGTCGAGTAGCAAAGGTAAATGATTCGGGTTGTCTGGAAAGCAAATTGGAAAGTTGACTATTTGAGTTAGGGATTGAGAAAGGCAAAGTTGTGGGGTTTAATGCCTGCAGAGCCAAGCCATTCTGTGTGATTGACATTAAAGTCACCGACAACAACAATATTGGTTGATGGATAAAGAGAGAGGGCTTGGTCAATACGATCAGAAATAACATCCAGAAGAGTGCAGCCTTGAGATGAAGGAGAGGGATATAGAACAAAGGGAAAGGTGATAGAGTGAAGTGGTGCTAAACGAAAACACATAAAAGAGTAGTCTGTGGATTCAAATCTAGTTTCCCGACAAATGGGTGAATTCTTACAAATGTAAATGCCCAGGCCAAGCATGCGACTATTGGAGTCTTTACGAATTAAAGGAAGATAACCATCAACACTAAGATCACAAGATGAGACAGCTGAACTCAAATTAGTCTCACAAAGAGCAAGTAAGTCTGATGAACTTTACAAGAGATAAGATTCAACAGAAGAAAAGTTACTTCGAAGACCACCAATATTAGCGAATGATAGGTTTAGCGAACTTGGTGATGACAGTGATTTTTTGTATTTTATAGTTTTTGTTATTAATTTTCAAATTTGTTAAAGAACTTGACTTGTAACATAGATATTATTAATAAACCTTAAGCCGTAACAAAGGGCTCCAATGTGGCCTTGGCAATGCACACCAAAAGTACAAACAGGGACGCCATTCATGTGCAACATGGCACTGTTAATAACAGCTGTTGATGGAATCAGCTTCTCTGAGAGCTACCACAGAGTTTGGGAAACCTGACTACCATCCGGCTTCAGAACCATAAAACTGAGTTTTAGAGCTGTACCCTCATTAGGAGATAATAGAATGAGTTGCCTAGTCATAAAAACAGAGACACAAGCAAAACCCATGCATCGAGTCAAGAAGATCCTGCATTCAACATCCTAAACTGGAAACAATGTATTAAAAATATATCTGCGCCAGCCTAATAGATGAAGAAGGGGTGCAAGGCTGGTCAACTGATAGAATTTGTTTACCCCTTAAGTCTTTGCCTAGGAGGCCTTCTACAAGACAGCAGCCGGATGCATTTAACATCTGCCCAGTATTTTTATCAAGACACTATCTCTAGCCTTTACTCAACCAAGAGCCCCAAGGCCGGGGGTGTTTTATGTTGGAGTTTGCATCTCCTAGCATTTGTCTAAAAAGACGTATCCTACAAGGCAGCAGGACATGAAGCAGATATATGTCCTCCATGAACAGGACATGAAGCAGATAAATATGTCCATGAGATTCCAAAATATGTCCTCCATGAGATTCCAAAATATGTCCTCCATGAGATTCCTAAAGATGCCCTCTGTGAGCAAGGATGGGGTCAAATATCTATTTGTATTTGAATTTTGTATTTGTAAGATAAAGTAATGATATATAATCAATATTTTTATTGATTGCCACCAATTTCAGTGACAGTTTCTATAAAAGTCAATAATTTTGAAAAAAATTGGATTTTTTTGGAGCATTTTTATCATGTCAAATTCAATAGGTATTTTGTAGGTATTTACACACATTTTTTTTGTGGGTATTTACACACATTTTTATCATGTCAAATTCTATAGGTATTCTGTAGGTATTTACAAAGTAAGTATTTGCAATCAAATACAAATTAATTATAACAGAGCAGAATCAATAGTATAACCTACACTAGCTCACACAAAGTAGGGGAGAGCATGTATGAAAGAGCCACTTTTAAAAAGGTATGAAAAAAAGTCAATTTTGATTAATTAAAAAAAAAAAAATTTCTTTAATTAAGTAGTTATGTTATTGGGTAATATTATAAAATTTAAATAAATTGGATAGCAATGTTAATAATCTGTCATGACCTATTTTAAAAAAAGAGAGAAATCAGCTCTTTCATAACATCTTGTCAATGAAAGTGCCACTCTGTGCTATGAATGAGCCGTAACATTTTTTCTAAAACTAACAAGTCTTTTAAGAGTAATAATGTGTTAACTAGACTTCTATAAAACAGATTGTACTTTAAGTTATATAATTCTATGATAATCAATGATAAAGCAAATAATAAAACAGCTTTAATAATAGTTTCACTATATTATTAAAAAAGTACGTCGCTTTTCGTAGTTAATAATTGTGAAGACATGTTTTTTTTTAAGATAAATAATATTAAATGAGAATGAAAAAAACAAAAGTATTAATATACACTAGTCAAACGTTTATAAAAAAAGTTTATATACACTAGTCAAAAGAACAAATTGTTTTGACTACATCTTGACGATAAATGTTATCTATGAATCATAGTGATTATAAGGCTTTTCACATATATTAACTATGCTAGGGATATATGAGTGAATACAATAATACAAAATAAGTTTTGACAAAATGTGTGTAAGTTTAAAACAACTGAAATAATTTTTTTTTTAATTTAAAAAAAAATTATTCCAGCTTTAGTAAAGACTTTATTATTATTTGAATATATTTTTTAAGATTCTAACGCACCTACGTTTTATGACTTCAGAAAAATTCATTCAAACAATTAATTTCAATAGAATATGATCAATGAAGCATTACGAAAAACAATGAAGTCGTTAATGCGCAAAACAGTTATTTAATTTTAAAAAAAGCTAAATAGAAAAGACCGGCTTTTTCATAGCATAAAAAAAGTGACTCTTTCAAAAAATTGTATGGTAAAAAATAACCGGAAATTAAACATTTTTTACCAAAACTTTAATCTAATATTATTTGTGGAAAAGAAGGACACATATATATATATAACAATGCAGCATATATGTTTTATCAAATAATAAAATACTCTTTATCTTAAAAATAAATAAGTAAATCCCAAAAAAATTACTTTTTATTTTCAAAATTTTTAGTCCACCCTTACGACGCTATTTATTTTAGTAGAACTCTAAATTTTTTGTGGGTATCCAGCATTGCCACTCAAAAAGTAAAATACAATCATGGTCGGGTGCCAGTAAGTTAGATATAATAGCATCGGCTCTTTCAAAACCTGGCTGTTTCTATAACTTTATGATGATAGAATAGCTTTGTGGTCATGGTGATGCAATATCTTTCTCTTATAGATAGGAAAAAAGAGACTAACAAAAAAAAAAAATTGGAATATAAGTTTAGCAATTATTTAAAATCAATTTGTTTTCATTTTGCTTTTTAGAGTAAAAACTTAGAAGCTTTTAAACTTGCTTCTGATGTAATTGACAGATGCTCTTCAGCCATCGAACCTTATATTCAACTTGTAAGTTTGTTTTAGCTTTGATACCATTTGATATTAAATTTCTTTTTTTTATTAATGTGTCAATATCCAGTGGGTATTAGCATATTAAAATTTTCACAATGATTTTCAAAGAATCGTTGTTTTAAAAGCTACAATTTTTTTGTCTTAAATTAAAAATGAACAAAACTTCCTTTTATAGTTTTTTAATAACACTTTGGTGCTTGGATCATCACCTACATCTTTAATCGCGGGAAAGTTATATGACCTTTTATATGAGTTGTACAAAATCAACAAAAATGTTTTGTTATATGTTCTTCCACAATTAAATTTCAAGCTTCAAGTAAGCAATTTTACTTAAATTATTTATTTGCATAATAAAGTATTCAATAGTTATGATTATTTTTTGATTTATATGTATGTATACCGATTAACAGTAATTACTAGTTACCTGGGTTACCTTAATTTACTAATATCATTAGTACCATATGTTTATGATTAGTATCTGAGTCCTTATAAATTTACAGGTTTAAAAAAAATATTAGACTTAAACATGAGATTTATTCAATGGATTTAAAACAAGGCAATAAATATTAATAACATTTTGGTAAAATTTAAGCAAAAGGCATTGTATTGAAAACTGAACTGATAGTCTGACATGTTAGTATTGAATAACTTATTTCTGGTAAGCTTATTACATATATACTAGCAATAAATGTTTTTTTATTTTTGCAGCCATGTTTGTTTTTTTAAATAGGGATCTGATGAATCTGAGCGGTTAGAAGCTGTAAAATTATTGCATAGGTTATTTGAGTATGATGGCAACACTTTGTCTGAAAACAATAAAACTTTGTGGAACTCTTATTTAGGAAGGTAATAGTAATAAATAAAAGTAATAATTTTCAATACAAAATAGTAAATTGGATAATTTTCAAATCAAAGTTAAAGATTTTTATTGTGAAAATTCAATTGTTTTGCAGATTCGTTGATGTTTCTCTTGATATTCGTGTGGAGTGTGTTCAGATGTCAAAACAGTTTCTGCTTTCTCCTGTTGAAAGATTTGTAGAAGATATTACAGGTATTATAGGCATTGCCTTTTTTTATTACAAATAAAAAATATTTTTTCCATGTGTTGCATTAAAGCCACTTAAATTAAAATTTTTTAGAACTTTATTGCCATTAAACTTGTCAAAATAAGCTAAGTATTCTTTAGTGTATAATAGTTATTGGTGTTATTGATTCTTAATACATTAAATATTGATGTTATCAAGCCTTTGTTAGAGACAAAATAAATAGTTTAAAATAAAGAGTTTAAAAAATTTAAAGATGGAGGAGTTTAAAAATGACGGAGGAGTTTAAAAACATAAAAACTAATTTAAACTACTTTTAGTTATTTTAAAACAAAAAATTATTTTAAAAAATATATTTTTTTATTATTGTTTTTATTATTAATCAATTAATTTTTAATTTAAAACATTTAAAGTTTTAGGTAAATAATTCCTCAAAGTTCCCCCAAAAATAATGTTTCATACAATGCACAATATGCTTTAGTATTGGTTTTAGTATTATTTTTTATTGGTTGATTTTTAAATTACTGCAAAAAATTTTCAGGCTTTTAGTATTTATTATTTTTTTCCTGTAACTTATTTATTTATAATGCTTAAATTACCTGGTGTTTAAACAAACAATTTTAAATATGTAAGTTTTGACTGTTATTATTTTTGCAGTCATAAATTTTTTGTTTTCTTTTTTCATTAATTTTTGCAATTTGATAAATTGACCATTTTATTAAAATAGTGTTTACTGCTTTTAATAAACTAAGAATTTAAGGAGCAGAAATATTTCTAGATATTATCGCAATTCGTGATTGCTTATTAGAGCTTTGAATTAGTGCATTTTTAAAATGCACAAATTATCAAATATGCATAGGCCCGTGGCCAAGTTGTCAATGCAAAATATTATATGCGTTGGTCAGGCAGGGCTTAATTGGTTCTTAATACAATAGTTATTAGTGTTTTTATTTCTTAATACAATAATGAAGTAGTTATGTTATTTTTTTAAATATAAACTATTTGACAAAATAAACTCTAAAGCATATTGTGAAACCTCTTATGAAAAGTTTATTCTAAAATTAATTATTAAATTTGGACCTGCAGTTGGCAAGTTTAAACCTTAAGGTGGCAAATCGCAAATGTCAGTAAACAACAACCTCTTTTTTTTTAAATTGTTAGTCAGCAAAAAATAGATCCTTCACCCACTTTTGAAATGTCTTTATAACGGCCCTGATGCCTACTACATATTTTTTGATGTGGATGTTCAAAATAATGAACTTTCTTCTTTGAAGGATATTAATTGAAAATGTAAATAAGTAAATAAGACCTTGTTGCATTGACTGGAGATCAAGAAGTAAGCATTAATTCTAGGTAATAAGATTTTACCTTCTACCATTTTTTTATTTTGAGCTGATTTTGTTCTTTTTTAAATTTACACAATTTTTACAGTTTACACTCAATGACATCTGTGTGGTGGTAGGCTGCACCAGTCTAGCTACCGTTTTGCCATTTTGTCTCAATATTATTTTTAATAGAGACTTTTTTATCCTTCTCTATAACCAGATACCTTTTTTTATGTTTCAAGTTTTGAAAAGATTTTCGTTTTAAATCTTTATTCTACAATTTATATACTATAACCTGGTGTTACTAAAACTTTTCTCGTGATAAAATAGGCTTTATCTCGAGATGTTTAAAAGTATAGTCAGTAGATTAAAGAAGCGTACATTTCACAAAGTATATATTTTAACAACTATATTACATGTACATTGACGAAGAAGGGTACATTTCACAAAGTATATATTTTAACAGCTATATTAAATGTGATAAAATAAAACTTTAATAATTTTGAATTTTATATAGATGGTTAAGCGCCAATCTTGTTTATGCAACAAAGTTGAAAAAGTTAGTTTGTATTAAAAAATGGTTTATGTAATATTCCTTTGCATACAGCAATATATTATTTCTAAAATTTTTTAAGTGCACTGGGCTGCAACTGCTTTTATTTTGTTTGGTGTAGCTGCTTTTGTTGAAAACTTTTAAATTTCAAATGGGAACAGCACATTAAAATGACAATTGGAAAAGTAAATAAAAAACTAGGTCTAATAAAGCACTGTTTTAATCATCTCAATGTGAATTTAATGGCACTAAATTTCTGGTTTATTATCATTTAGAGTATGCTGCTGGAATCCATACAACAAAAAGGATGTATGAAAAAAACTGATTGAACAAATATAAAATGGAGAGTAATAAGGATTAAAAATCGAAGGGGTCTGGAATACAAGGAAAAACTCATTATATTTAATTGACAACACTAGAAGGGAGGCCTCATTGGGGAAATATGATTTAATTTTTAAAATATTATGCTTATACATTTTTAAGTACAACAGCACTGTGTATTATATATTGTATTTTACATTTAAACATGCAGCCCTCGGAATCAGGGTTGGCATTTGGCAATGCTGACCTAGAAGTATTTTAGGTTGACAAAAAATCTTTGAACTTGTTTTTATGTTTTATAATAAAACCCTTTTTACCCAATTTTTTTTACCTACCTGATGCCGACCTCCAACAGATTAAGGTCAGCAAAGTATTGCTGACCTCATTTTTCCTGATTCCGAGGGTTGAACATGAAAATAAAAGTTCTAATGCTGGATTTTACTATCTTTTAACATCACTTTTGTTTAGATGTTTTGATTAGATGGATTTTACTATTTATTAACATCACTTGGATTAAATAGATTTTACTATCTAATAACACTAGGATTGGATGCATTTTACTATCTATTAACACCTATAAAATTTTACTATCTATCAACTCTAAAATTTCAAAGTGTACAAGCGTACTAACTTTATTGTCTTTATTTCTCTTATACCAAATATACCATAATAATTTCTATATTCTTAATTTAATTTCTATATTTTTAATTTAATTTCTATTTTTATTTATTCAGATTTATAAGAATAGAATCAGTTTTGCTGGAGATTTTTTAAGTTATTTCTTTTGTTGACAATTTTTAAATAAAATAATTTAAAGTTAGAATCAAATAAGTGGAAACTGAATTTGTTAACATTTATAGTAAAATTCCATATAATTTCACATGCTTATATACGTCTTTGCAATTACATCTTATGTTTCTCAATTACAACTTTCATGTTCTCTTTTGAACATCTTTTGTTTCTTATACATCATCTTATGTTTCTTATAATTAATATCTATACTTCTATTTAGTATCTATTTTTAATTAATATCTAATATATATATATATATATATATATATATATATATATATATATATATATATATATATATATATATATATATATATATATATATATATATATATATATATATATATGTTTCATATATAATATCTTATGTTTCTTATAGTTAATATCTATATTCTTAATTATATCTTAATTGTTTCTTAATTTAACCTCAATTACATGTTATTGTAACTTGTGTAATTCAAATTTCGTCTTATATTTCTTAATTAAAACTTTCATACTTTTAACTACATGTTGGAAAGGTGTAGTTGTAAAAGTGACATTGGTAAAGAGGTAGGAAACTGTTAGGTAAGTTGGTAAAAAGGTGGTAAACTGGTAAAGAGGTGGAAACCGTCTTGATGCTATTTTCATTACAATCTTTAAAAATGTCATGATTAACTTAAAGTTAAAAATGATTTTTTATCAAATAATAGTACTTGACACCTAAAGCTCATCCCTGTTAACATGGTAACAAAGATGTAAAAAAAGATCTCTGTTGTGACTTTAAAAATTCTAAACAAAAAAAAACAACAGAAAAACTGCTATGCACAAGGTGATGCTGTGCTAGCAAAGTTGATTGATTTTAACTTTTTTTTCTTTCTTTTTTTTTTTTTATTATAACATTGTAAGATTATTATTTTTAATTTATTTTATAATGAAAACTGTAAAAAGTGTAATTAAAAGTTAATTTTTTTTTTGATATTTATGTGAGTGTGTATTGTCTATAGTGTTAAATGTGTTGATTTAAATTAGTTTTATTTATGTATAAACTGTTGCATTTATCCACAGAAGATAATGTTAAAAAAAAAAAATTAAATTGTTAATATACTAGTCTAACAGTTGTTAATGGAATCATCAAGACTAGATTGTTGATGTAACCATCAACAGTATCATTAACAGTAGATTGTTGATGGAATCATCAACTGTAGATTGTTGATGAAGTTAGTATACATGTGTAAACTTTTCTAATTAAAGTTCGAATTTTAAATTGAAAAAAATGTCTCATTTAGAACAGTTACTTCAGAGAATATTAGACCCTGATGAAAAGGTTCGCTCAGAAACAGTTGTTGTCATTTGTGAAGCTGCTGCAGAAAATTTTTCTTTAATAAAAAGCCAGGTTTTACTTCAGTCTTTAAATTTAATTTTTTACTCTTTGCTAAACAAGAAAGTTGTAATTTAGTTAATTAATTGTTTAAGAAGATTTTTGTTTATCCTCATCATCATCCTCATCATCATCATCATCATCATCATCATCATCATCATCATCATCATCATCATCATCATCATCATCATCATCATCATCATCATCATCATCATCATCATCATCATCATCATCAAGAATATTCCATGGTTTCTTTTAATTTTTTACAATAAGTTATGATTATATTGTCAAACTGTTTAAACTGATCTTATTTTAAATGTTATTATTGTATTATTATTTATTATTATTATATTTATTTAGACTTTTAGATTATTTTGTTTATTTATTTATGATGATGTGATTATTAAATTTATTAGTGATATGATCCAATGTTGCTAATTGAAGTTTATTTGGTTTAATAATTTATAATAATAGTTTAATTTAATAATAACCAGTTTAATAATTTTTTACATTCAGCAGATTTTTAGCTGATTGGTATTGTATTTTTTAATAAACACATTTTAAAGTATTTCAAAAATATCATTAAAGCAATTATTATCTTCTGGGATCTTTTTTTCCAAAATGATCAAACTAAATTTTGACCTAAAAATTTGAAGCTGGTACTAAATCTAGTCTGGTAAAAGTGTTTTTTTAACTATTATAAAAGTTTCTTTAGATTTTTGAAAAAATTGTTAACTGATGAGAGGTTAAAAGCAAATCCAGAATCAGATTATACTAACCTGAATCTGCATTCTTTTTAAGTAGTTATTTATTTTAACATGGCGAGTTAAAAACAAAAGAATCTTGTTATATACATAATAATCTAATGTATTCAAGTAAATCATAAAGGTAAATAATGTTTTAAAAACCAATATACTCGGTTGTTTATAACAGTTCCAGTATTAATTTTTTTTTTTAAAAGCTGTTGATTTACTTGAAGGGATTTTAAGTTGGTTTTACAAGTTGTGTTGATTACATAAAGAAACAGAAAATAAAGTTCAAAGTAATTTTAAGTTAACAATAAGAATTATTTATCATGATATAGGCAAAAAGCATCTTTAACAGCTTTAGCATTTCTCTGTATAACTTCCTTTTTTGAGGCAGATTTGTTTTTTATTGATACACTAGGTTACAAGCAATTTAGTTTTTAAGAAATCAAGTTAAATTATTCACTTTTTTGAGTTTAAATGAATGAGGCAAGAATAGTGTTGGTTTAACATTATTATGATCTTATTTGTATTTTATGTTTTCTCATTGAGTTTGTTACAAATCTTGAGTTTTCTATCAAATCTTTGAGTTTGGAGTAGAAGCAAAATTTTAAAGCAAAATTTTTTTAAAGTAATTTTTGCTAAAAGAGAAAATAAGAAAAGCAAAATTTTTTTTTTAGCTTATAGAATCTGTGAAAGGACGAACTAGAGACAAAAAGGTATTTCTTTAAATTTTTCTTTTAATTTCCCAAATTTTTTTTTTACTTATCAGATTAATTTGTTAAATACAGTGGTTAGTACGTAGAGAAGCTATAACATCACTTGGAAAGCTGTATAAAGTTGTTTATAACAGGTAAATAATATGACTTGTAGCAATTTTTCAAACAAGTTTTCAATAATTCTTATATGTGAATTAAATATTTTTAATGGGTTAGCTAAAAAGTAATGAGTATTTTTTTTTCAAAAAAAATTAATCTTTATTTTTAGTTTAACTATTCTTATACAATATATGCATCATCATTGTCTATAACTTCAACAAGTAATAATATGTCAGCAAGTAAAGAAAACAAGGCAATACTTCCAAAAGTTTAATAGTTTTGCTATGTCAATTTTTCAATGTCAGGATGGCCATATTTATGAAGGATGTAAACTTTATTTTGCCTTAAGCTTTTTTATAAGAGTTTTGCTTGAAGCTTGTTAAGTTGAGCAAAGTAGGTTGCTTTTGTAAGTGTGGTGTTGGGCAAGAGCAGTTTTCAGTAAACAACACTGCACACACCTTACCATACTAAAAAACAGCAATATTTTAAGGTGCAAATGAACTTTTTAAGTTGGTTTTGGTTGTTGTTCCAGCCCTTCCTAGTATGGTTTATGTAGAGTACCCACTTCTCATGCCTCATGATGACATACTTAAGCCAGTTAAAAGTGCAATGTCAAGAGGCTTATGCAGGTGTCTGTTTGCTGACCTAGCTGACTAGTATTGAGTGTGTTATCCAAATATCAAGCTTAGAGGTCTTTTTTGATTTTGTAAAAGTGGTGTCCTGTAGTATAGTACCAAATCCAATTCCAATGGTCTGCTGGATTTAAGTTAATCTTGCAACATTAAGTCACCATTACGAAAGTGTTAAAATCAGCATTTTGCTGTCCCCTTAGACACTGAACTCTGACCTATTCAGGTGCAAACATTCTGTGGCTTTGGTTGCTGAGTGGCCCAATTAAAACCCATAAAGCAAGCAATGCTGTACATGGTTATTAACGTTAACCATTTTTTGAGACATACAGAAGTTGCAGTGCAGAAATTTTTATTGGCCTTATAGGCTGTTTTAAATTTCATATGCACCAAATAAGCTTCTGGAAGCTTACAGAGCATTCTAGAAATTTTCAGAAAAATTGCTCATTTCTTTTTAACAAGCCCAATAATTAAAAAAATCTTTAAAAAACTTTATTTTAATATATATTTTTTTTAACAGTAAAAATGTTAAATGTCAAAAAGATTTAGCTTGGATACCTTCGATTATTTTACATCTTTATATTCAAGACAGTATTGAAGATAGGTATTTTTTAATTAAATTGTTGCTAGATTGTAATAATATATAATAAACAAGTTAAATGTTTTTATTAAGTCTTTCTAAGTTATTTTGTTTAATAAAAAGTAATTTGCTAAATATACATATCCTTGACATATATATGTTACATTTTTGGAATTTTTATTTTCAGATTATGCATTGAGAGAGTTTTTCATGGTTGCTTAATCCCAGTCTCACTTGACTCAGAGATTCGAATGAAAAGACTGCTTGAAGTCTACCTTTCATTAGATGAAACATCTATTAAGTATTTATAACTGCTTAACTTATTTTATTTATCAAATTTGTTAAATATTTTTTTAAACTTCACAATAAATGTGTTTTTCATAAGCTTATATCTATATGTTGTTTTTAGCATATTTGATAGCATGTTAAAACATAGATCCAGGTTAGTTTAATAAATTAAATTGCAAATAAATTTAAAGTTTAAACTTAGTATTTTGTTTATATAAGAGTTCCTACTGTATGGAATTATATAAAGTTGTATTAAAAAAATAGCTTTTTATGATAAAGAACTTTTTATATAAATATTAAATATTTATAACTGCTTTACATTTAATAAATTTAAACATTTTCAGAGTAAATTTTGAATTCAGTGCACTCTTAGAATTATACAAAAATGAAAAGGTAAGTTCAAAAAATGAAAATTTAAAAATTTTCATTGAGCATTTGCAAAATTTTACTTTTGTAAAAGTTTTTTGAATTTATATATATTGTTTATGCATAATTTATGGTTTAGTAATAATCTGTTTCTCTTAAAAAATTAATGAAGATTATGTTTACATAGAAGACATTTAAAATCAATGATTTGATAGCAAATAACTTGTAACATTTTTAAATATGCATACTTAATACAACAACTATACATAATATTCATTGATTAAATTGTGAGATATACTTTGATATAATATTTATACTTTGATATAATATTTATACTTTGATATAATATATATACTTTGATATAATATTTATGCAAGATGCGTACTTCAGTATAATTTCTTATAAACAATAACAACACATCAAAAGTGAACTGACAAAATAACATGAAGGCTAGAATAAAAATAAATAAAGATATAAACTATTTAAAAGATATTATTTGTGTTAGATTAGAAAGATTGTTTAAAATTGAAAACAAAGATATTGAAAATAATGCTCACGATATTGCTTGTTTGATTGGTTGACTGTCCTGATCATGATCAATGATCTGTCCTGATCATGCTTAATAATCATGATCACTCTGATATTAAAATCCCAAGTTTATTGAATATTAAGATAGTGGAAACTTGTAGTTCTTGGAAAATAGTCTTATTTGTGGTTGCATCACAATAAAAAAACTCAATCCTGATCTGCAAAGCAGGTTAACATCAGAAAGAGGTTAACATCAGAAAGAGATTAACATCAGAAAAAGGTTAACACCAGAAAGAGCATCAATTGTAAAAAAGTGCTTTAACTCTTGTTATATCCAAGTGGCATTATTGTCTAAACCGCACAAACATACAATGTTGTACATGTTAAACATTAGCAAAAAAAAAAAATTGAAGTTATTCAATTTAATTTTAATTTGAAAAATTGAAATGTAGGGTGAAGTTAATTTAAAATGTAGGAGTTTTAAACGTAACCATTTTATAAAAAGAACTTTTTTGTGGTTTAGTATTTTAGTTTTATATTGGAGTTTACATTGAGTTACAGTTATGAACCAACTCACTAAAGTGAATAAACAAATGAGTAAATCATCCCTTTTATTACTTTATTCTTCATACTTAAAAGATTTGGTAATTTTTAAATTTTGCTTTATGTCCTGGAAATAAATAAAAATTATAAAAAAATAGTATAAATATCACAAAAAGGAAACAAAACAAAACAAGAATCTGTGAGTTAAAGCTTAAAGATCCAGTGTTTATTGTCCGAGGCAGGAAATAATGCAACATAAGTTTGCATCTATGTCAGCTTACTAAACAAGGGTAGAAAGCAACAGAAAATATGTTTTCTCTTTATTACAATACTTAATTTAGGTTGATTAATTCTGGGGGAGATTTTATTGTCAAGAAAGTTTCAAAGGTTACTCTATATAAAACATTGTTTGAGCTAATTTTATTTATTATTATTAATTTTATATTTATTTATTTGGGATTTGAGAGGCGGTATCTTTTTTTGCAACAACAAAATTGAATTTTTATTTTATAAATTATTAGGTTGATTTTAAGGTTTTTTTCTCAGTTATATTTCATATGTTATGAATTTGAGCTGAAAATTGTAAAAAATTGTACTGTTTATAGGAAGAAAATAAAGAACAGAAGCTTCATTTAAAAATTCTTGCTGTGTCAAGTAAGACCTACAGTTTTTAACATTGTAAATCAATTTTTAAATTTATATTCACCTTCTCACAATAGTTTTGCTTGTATTTTCAATTGCACTTCACACATATCTTCAATTGCTGATGCTTTATGCACTTCTATTATTTTCCTTGCATTCATGTATATCTAAGTAAACTACAGATGTGCTAATATATCTTAATAGTTATATCAAGTTTTTAATTTGAATTATGTAGTTTTTAAAGTTATAGCATTCATAGATGTTTTTAACTTTAGGATGTTTACCAGATCCTATTCGTGCACAAGAGAATTTAAAGAAATTGCTACAGCTTTGTGCAGATGATAAATTATACCAACTGTTCAAACTATGTGTTGATCCTAGACAAGAATGTCCTAAAAAAATGAAATCAATTACTGAGATTCTTAAACTAACTTCTAAAAGTACTATCATCGACACTATAAAAGTTTTGCTTGATCGTGTCTGTTCTCTAATTGTCGATATGCCTAGTTTTACAATACTTCTAAGAGAAGTAAAGTTACTTATTGATGGCATTAGCAACGATGACGATGCAGAAGAATCAGAGGATGCTATTATGGAGAAGGGAAAATTTGGTCTAAAGCTAATTAAAGTATTATTTTCTTTTAATAACGCTATGTAAAAATATTTTTCTAATAATATAAAACAATATTTTTTCATAAAAATAGTAATATTTATTTATTTTAAAAATAATAATATAATATATTTAAAATTTTGTTACTTATGTATATGTACATATATATATATATATATATATACATATATATATATATATATATATATATATATATATATATATATATATATATATATATATATATATATATATATAAATATATATATATATATATATATATATATATATATATATATATATATATATATATATATATATATATATATATATATATATATACAAATAGTATTGCGTACTAAGGTAAGGAAATAGCCTGCTGCTGGGGGCTTCAGTACATAGATCGACTGACAAATAGCCTGACTCGCAGTGGAGTGCTGCTACATCGACTGAGGGTTTGGGATGGGGCAGCAATCGTTTCATTCATCATTCTTCATTTTTTCTAAAAAAGCTGTATGGGTTAAGGTAAGCAAAAAAAGTGAGCAAATACTTATAAAAGTACGCTTTAGTAAGTGTGTGTATATATATATATATATATATATATATATATATATATATATATATATATATATATATATATATATATATATATATATATATATATATATATATATATATTATGGCTAAAATCTTTTCAATCCAAAGCTACGCACTGCTTTTTTTAATTTTTTGCCATGATCAGGATGAGAAATATTTCTTTCACAACATATATGTCTTTTTAAATTTAGCATGAATTGCCTCACCTGTTTGCTCAGCGAATATACCCAGACCAAAAGATTGGTCGATACAAAATGGAATTACATGATTTATTAAAATCTGGATTTTCCAAGTTAAGACAACTTTGTGTCTAAGGTTTCTGCAAGACCTCGTATGAAACAAAAAGAACTTTTGAATGTTTTAAAAAAACAAATCTAGTTTCTCCAATATACATTTGGAGTTAGCTTCATCCTAACCAGATCCTAAATACAGTTATTAATCTCTTTAAATAATTTTAAAAAATGAACAGATTAGTATTCATCTATCTTTAAATAATGAGAATATCCTACGTTGGTATCCATGTTTTGAAATAGAATTTCTGGAACACCAAGGTCCACAGTTTTGTCAAACCTCTAAAAGTAAATCTCCTAATACATTTCCACCGCCTATTAAAAGATGAAGTTCTGGTGGAGGGAATCGATGTTGAATTTCAACATCTGAGTCAACATCAAGATAAATAAGTCTAAAAATATTAAATCATAAAATGTAGTTGATAAAATGTTGATTGTTATTGCTATCTGTAATTATTAAAGATGTTAATATCCTAATAAATCCCTCTCTCATTTTAGATAAATTATGAAATATATATTATTACCAAGGCTTCTCAATGTTCTTGGCTTTTCAGCATTTATTTCCATTTTACCTTCACAGTACATGCACACATATTTTCCACAGCAAATATACCAGAAAATTACATTGCTGTAATTTTCTGGTATATTTGCTGCAATTGCCAAAACTTGAGCTTTTTAAACACTGGAACCAAATATTGATTTTTGAAAATGTGTTTCTTTTTCATCAATATCAAAGAGATTAAAGCATATCTTTATAAATCCACCTCCAGAATCCATTGACAGTTGCACTAAAGTCTTATAAAGATCAAGTCCTCTGTTACTGTGCCATGTCTCAGCTTGGAGCAAAATAATTTGGTTCTATTATCGCTCAGTTCAATTGCAACTTGTAACGGCATCATAGTTTCAAAAGATACATATGCTATAGTTCTGCGAAGAGTTTTATTATCTGATACACCCACTTGAACTGTAAGATTATTTCACCAGTTGAAAGCATTATTTTCTGTCCACTAAGAATATTTTCCTTTTCCATTTTGTGTTTAAGATGATAAACTATCATTTTTTCCACACACTTTAAGTCATCATTACCTCCCAATGCATGATCAACTAGGTTTTTAACTTTTTATTTTTTCTGCATGGATGAAAATATTTTTTTGTCTTAAGTTAAGTTTCATAATTTTATTACTATTTTATTAAAAAATTCATTTCTTATTAAAATATTTATTAAACAAATCAAATTTAAATATATCAACAAAAGCAAAAGGGTGAGAGCATATTAAAAAGTTTCTTCTAAATTAGGAATATTTTTGATTGGTTCAAAAGTTAAACTTGCTCTTGTACTTATGTCAAATAAGGATGCTTTGCAAATAAGCTTTAAAAAAACTAGATAAACTATTTAAAAAAATAAGCTTTGCAAACTAGACTTCAGTTCATTTTCGGTGAATTTCTATTCTGTTCAAATAGGTTACCATCGTCATACAGAGCTGACCATCTGGTTTTAAACATTCCATTTATAAAATTTTGTTATATTTTCGTGTTGGAACGGCTGTCACAAGACTGGCCTATGCATGTTTGAAAATCAAAATTTAAAATTTTTAAAATTTCCAGTGTTTGAGCAGCCATTTCAAAAACAAATATGCATAATTATTTCAGTCAATAATTCCAATTAATCACTTTTAATTAATTGATCAGCACTAATTTTCATGTTGATCTGTAATAAATTTAGTTGTGTTAATCATGTTATTTCAAAAGGTATATTATTAATATACCTTTTGAAATACCAATACAAACACTTAAGTGCTTTGTATTGTGCCATTTGAATTAATTCTGAAGTATTTCTGAAGCAACAAAGTAATGGTTTAAGTAAAGATGCTTTTAAAAAATGGAAGCTGAAGCAAATAATGAAAGATCATCTTTAATAATAGCCATGGTAAATCACTGAAATGCCACCACATCAAAACTGCAAGATGTTGCCTTTAAACTATAGGACTAAGTTACTTCTGCTTATCATATAGAATGAGTTAAATAGAAAATTATTTTTTCGTAACTAAAAATACTAGTTAAAAGTAGTTTTAATTTTTTTTTAATTGTTTAGTGCTTGGCAAGCACTCATCCTGCTGTTTTCCAATCGAAACAATGTTATGAATTTCTTCTGTTACTAATCAAACACAATGATTCAACAGTTGGTGAGTAAATTAATGTCTCCTTCTCTTTTTATATATATATATATATATATATATATATATATATATATATATATATATATATATATATATATATATATATATATATATATATATATATATATATATATATATATATATGTGGTTAGAATTCAATAAATACGGCTGCGTATAAATTTTTTTAAAATATATATATATACTTTTCCTTTAATATATAATTATTTCGATATTTCGCTGATCTATTGTGATCAGCGTCATCAGGTATAATAAACAAAATAGTTACAAAATCGTTATAGTAAAAACAAACCGTTTGTTTTTACTATAACGATTTTGTTATAAAATCGAAATATCGAAATAATTATATATTAAAGAAAAATTATATATTTAAAAAAAGTTTATACGCAGCCGTATTTATTGAAAAAAAAAACAGTTTGAAGTCTACAATAAAAAGAATAATTTTCCTTTTCTTAACTTTTTTTTTTAAGATGATAGCAAAAATACAAATTGCAATGTGTTTGTAAAATTTATTTGTATAATTTTAATGTAACAACAAGGGTTGAATTAAGTAAATGTGAAACGCAAAATCTGGAAAAGTATCTAGTATTCAAAATTTTAGTTTATACAAAACCGCGTTCATTGTTTTTAAGGGGAGAATTAACTTAAATTTGTAAGCGAAAAAATAAAAATAAAACAATAAACTTAAGATTACAAAAATAATAACACTCTAGTCACTAACTGCATTACAAAGGTAATAACACTATAATAGTGTTTTTACTTTTATAACGCATTTATAACTTTTAAAATTCATTCTTTGTTCAAGCAACATAAGTAATCCCAAATTTTAATTGAAGTTGAAAAGTATCTAGAAGAATAAAGTGGATGTTCAAATAATATTTAAAACTTAAATAACTTATAAAAACGTGACAAGCAACTTTATAAAAATGTATCGAATTAAAAGTTTAGCATTATGAAAAACGTTACTAATGAACCGTAAAAACGCGCGTTAATTTTTAAATTAACCAATAAAAATTTTTTATTGGTTGATTTTAAAATTAATGCGCGTTTTTTATATAACGTTTTTCATAATGCTATACTTTTTATAAAGTGAAAGTTCCTGAAATTTTTATTAATATTTGAATATCCGCTTTATTTTTTCTAGATGCTTTTCTACTTTAATAAATGTTTGGAATTAATGTATTTGAACAAAGAATGAACTTTAAATATAATAAGTGCTTTATAAATGTAATAACACTATTATAGTTTTATTACTTTTATAATGCAGTTAGTGACTAAAGTTTTATCACTTTTGTAGTCGTAAGTTTATTGTTTTTGTTTTGTTTTTTGTAACTTTCTTGCTAGCAAACTTTTGATAATTTGCTCCTTTTAAACAAAGTACAGCTTTGCATGAACTAAAATTGCAAGACCTAATATTTTACCAGAGTTTGCAAATCGCGATCGTATAATTTAATCCTTGATATAAACTTGTTACATTTAATTATACAAATATATTTTACAAACAGATGACGATACAATAAAATATGGGAAAGTCATCCTTTTTAATGCTTAAAACCATTTTTTTTTTTTTTTGCTTTGACTTACTGAATTTTGTTGCTTATAATAATAACCACTAAGAAAAAACAAAAATAAAAACAACACACAAATTATTTAAACTATTATTATTGTTTTCTATTTAAGTTTACTTTAAATTCTTATGTAGTTATCAAATTTAAAACTTTTTTCAGCAACACATATAATAAAACTTGTTTTCGTGGACGTACAAGACGAAAAACCGCACGCCTTTTTTTATATGTATATATAAATTTTTTTTATATATGTATATATAAATATATATATATAAATATATATATAAATATATATATATATATATATATATATATATATATATATATATATATATATATATATATATATATATATATATATATATATATATATATATATATATATATATATATGTATATATGTATATATATATATATATATGTAAAACATATACATATATGTATATATAAATATATATATATATATATATTTATATATATATATATATGTATATATATATATATATATATAAATATGTATATATATATATACCAATATATATATATATATATATATATATATATATATATATATATATGTATATATGTATATATATATATATATATGTAAAACATATACATATATGTATATATAAATATATATATATATATATATTTATATATATATATATATGTATATATATATATATATATATAAATATGTATATATATATATACCAATCCTTGGAATCAGGGTCATATATATATATATATATATATATATATATATATATATGTATGTGTATATATATATATATATATATATATATATATATATATATATATATATATATATCCAAAATTTCTTTTAAGCACAAAAAATGTAAATATTTTAAGAGACAAGACAAATTTTTTATTAATAAAACCATTTTATTAATTTTAACTAATGTCGAAACATGTATTGGTTAAAATTAATAAAATGGTTTTATTAATTAAAAAATTTGTATTTTTTTAAATAACGACCTCCCCTAAAAAATTTCACAGTACGGCCCTGTATATATATATATATATATATATATATATATATATATATATATATATATATATATATATATATATATATATATATATATATATATATATATATATATATTTTTACGTTATGGGTAGTGTACACCCGATCTTTAGAAGCTCGAAGAAATTAGGATATTGGTTTTCATTGTAGATTTTAATGGCTTCAGCTAGAGTATTAGGCCTATCTTCACGAAATGCAAATCCTTGTTTCCCCATTAAATGCACTATTCTAACTAATGTTTCAACAATGTACCGGTACATTTGTTGTTGGTTTTTTAAAGTGCTATCGCTTTGTAATGGAATGGTTTGTCTTGGATCTTTAAAATAACAACAAATGCCGTTAGTTTGTTTGATAGCTTCTTTATGGTATCTATTGCCTACATGCATTTTTTGTTTCTCTAAAACATTGTACTATTCCTTATTTCCACAGTTAACAAAAGCTCCCAAAGATTTTTTTTTATCCTGCTTTAGAAATAAAGTGCAGTATATGCAGCAGACTGCGTCTTCACTTTTGCTGTTGACAAATCCATTTTGAAAATATTCTTCTTTTCAAGCGCGTTTGCAACCATGTTTTAAAGTTTTGGGAAATTGAAAATGTGTCTTCTGTTTTAAGTTATTCGTAAACATTTTATATTTTATGTGGTGATAATTCTTGATTTCCGTGCAAGAGTTTGTCAGTATCATATCATTTTTCTTCTTTAAAATCACATTCTTTTAAATTTGTTCGGTCTAATTTGCATGACAAGCTTTTGTTAACATTATTATCACCTTTAATGACTTCCTCTTTTTCTTCTATTTCAGATAATGTTTAATCTGTTACATTTTGAGAACTGTCGATAATAAAAAACATTTGAAATGTAAGTAATTAATAATAAATTTCAGGTCTATAACCAAACTATACGAAAACTTGCGTAAACATTACAATAAAAAACAAGTAATAACAAAAGTACTATCATAAAAAAATTTAACATATAAATGATATTTATATCTAGTTAATATCTATATCTAGTTAATATCAAACTAATCAAACTAATTATAATCAGAAGATCAAAATAATTTTTTTACTTAAAATAACCAGCTAATGATTTGCATTTCTTTGCAGCATTTTGAAGCTCATTTCTATCTGCTGCTCGTTTTCTAATTTGTTTAGGCATGTTAACTCTATCATTTGTTTTTAAAAGTGAATTAGTATTAGTAGAGAATTGTAATTACAGTATAAACTTTGGAGAGACTATTTTTCATTTTTCGTTTCCAAAAGATTTCACAATGACTTGTAATGACGTCTTACGTTTGTGAAACAATAAAGTAAAAATTGTTTCATGAGAATGATTCATAAAATTCAAATAGTTATCATAAAAAATTTTAATTAAATATTTTGACATGGAAAAGATTCTAGAAACAGCTTCCAGAAGTTTCCAGAAGAAGCATCTGGAAGCATCCAGAAGTATCCAGAAACATTCAGAAGCATCGAAAAGAAGCATCTAGAATCTTCCAGAACAGGTTCATTTTACTATATAAGAGACATGTAAACCGACATGTAATTCAGTCAGTATATGGAAGTCAATCAGTCAGTATTATCAGGACAGTTTATCAAAGTGAGTTTTATCAAAGTGTTTTATCGAAGAACATCAATACAAGAAGTGAAATACAACAAGTGTTTCATTACATCAATACAGTCCACATCCAACCAAGACGTTGTGTTCCACAGAGCATTATTGTATCATCACAAGGTAAATCTAACACGGTAAGCCTTGAGAAGCGTGATTATTTACTTTAATTATTTTTATGACTTCAAGTGCAAAAATGGCTCCCGACAGTCTTGGATTGGAACTAAGAAAGAAAATTATTGGCGATTAGGTAAGTGGAATGTCACAAAAAAGTATATGTGATAAATATCGCGTGAAAAATAGCCCTTATCAAGACTATGTTTCAAATATCGTTCTACAGGGAAGTTGGCAGCAGATAACAAAGGTGGAAGACCGCGTTCCACCACTTCTAGAGAGGATTCTATCATCGTCAGATCTGTCAAGAAGGATTTGGATATCATCAGTCAAGATACAAAAGCAATTAGATCTGCATGTATTGGACTGAGCAATCAGACGACGTGCTGTTGAAGCCAGATTGTTTTCTCGACGCCCTGCAAAGAAACCGCTGATTTCACTAAAGAACCAGAAGAAAAGACTCCTGTTTGCTACATCTCATATTGACTGGAATATGCAGAAATGGCGAACTCTGTCCTGTTTAGTGATGAATCGAAGTTCAACATCATTGGGAGCGATAGCATTTGCCCTGTATGTCGACCGGCCGGAAATGCCTCGATTTATGTTAGGTCTAATACATCAAATCGATGGAATAATAGACCGTTTT